GTCCCAGGTATCGTAAAAACCGTCCAGGTATCGTAGAAACCGTCCAGGTATCGTAGAAACCGTCCAGGTATCGTAGAAACCGTCCCAGGTATCGTAGAAACCGTCCAGGTATCGTAGAAACCGTCCAGGTATCGTAGAAACCGTCCAGGTATCGTAGAAACCGTCCAGGTATCGTAGAAACCGTCCAGGTATCGTATACACCTGTGTACCATCAGTGCGGGACTGTTCTTGAATGCATATCTGTGATCTTCAACCTCTTGACGAGCGATCAAACTTAAAAGAATTTAAAAGCATTCGCATAAACATCTTTGGTGCACTTGGATTAGCGGGATCGAACGCAGTCCCGGGGAAAAAAAGGCTGTCTCTGTATCGACCACACCCAAACATTTATTAACAGTCGGCAAACCTTTTTCCTCTCCCAATGGCTGGTATATAAGTAGGCATCCATCAGTCTCAGGAGACTATGGAGTTGTGCTCTGGTCTGGAGTGGCCTCTCCAGGGCGCAAAGCCAGGGTAGGTTGATATGGAGGAGAAGCTGTTACCCATGCAGCAGGTCCCACCCTCTTTCTAATATCAAATTCACAGCTTTATTGCTGTTACGGAATTATTTGAGCGATATATTTATATATAGATTAGCATTTTGAACTTATTGTTTTTGGAAATTTATTAACCAAAAACCCGCATATTGAATATAGGTGAACACAACTCCAATGATTTTAGAATTTTGAGAGATATTCTGTAATGGTGAAGGTCTTGGCGCATCAGCTGCTTAACTTAGAAGAACATTAACCTCTACACTGCGCTGGTATTTATAGTACTGATTACACACACTCCCAGGTGTGTCCCACCAGTGTCCCCCACACACTCCCAGGTGTGTCCCCCCCACACACTCCCAGGTGTGTCCCACCAGTGTCCCCCCACACACTCCCAGGTGTGTCCCCCCACACACTCCCAGGTGTGTCCCCCCACACACTCCCAGGTGTGTCCCCCCACACACTCCCAGGTGTGTCCCACCAGTGTCCTCCCACACACTCCCAGGTGTGTCCCACCAGTGTCCCCCACACACTCCCAGGTGTGTCCCACCAGTGTCCTCCCACACACTCCCAGGTGTGTCCCACCACATGTTGTAACGAGAGAGTGTGTAGTGGGGGTGTGGGGGTGTAGTGTGGGGGTGTAGTGTGGGGTGTGGGGGTGTAGCGTGGGGTGTGGGGTGTGGGGGGTGTAGTGTGGGGTGTGGGGGTGTAGTGTGGGGGTGTAGTGTGGGGGTGTGTAGTGTGGGGGTAGTGTGTGGGGTGTGTGTGGGGGTGTAGTGTGGGGTGTGTAGGGTGTGGGTGTGTGGGGGTGTAGTGTGGGGTGTGTAGGGTGTAGTGTGGGGTGTGGGGGTGTAGTGTGGGTGGTGTAGTGTGAGGGTGTAGTGTGGGGTGTGGGGGTGTAGTGTGGGGTGTGTAGTGTGGGGGTGTAGTGTGGGTGGTGTAGTGTGAGGGTGTAGTGTGGGGTGTGGGGGTGTAGTGTGGGGTGTGGGGGTGTAGTGTGGGGTGTGTAGTGTGGGGGTGTAGTGTGGGGTGTGGGGGTGTAGTGTGGGGTGTGTAGTGTGGGGGTGTAGTGTGGGGGTGTAGTGTGGGGTGTGGGGGTGTAGTGTGGGGTGTGTAGTGTGGGGTGTGAGGGTGTAGTGTGGGGGTGTAGTGTGGGGTGTGGGGGTGTAGTGTGGGGTGTGTAGTGTGGGGGTGTAGTGTGGGTGGTGTAGTGTGAGGGTGTAGTGTGGGTGTGGGGGGTGTAGTGTGGGGTGTGGGGGTGTAGTGTGGGGTGTGTAGTGTGGGGATGTAGTGTGGGGTGTGGGGGTGTAGTGTGGGGGTGGGGTGTAGTGTGTGTGGGGTGGTGTAGTGTGAGGGTGTAGTGTGGGTGGTGTAGTGTGGGGGTGTGGGGTGTAGTGTGGGGTGTGGGGGTGTAGTGTGGGGTGTGTAGTGTGGGGGGTGTAGTGTGAGGGTATAGTGTGGGGTGTGGGGTGTAGTGTGGGGTGTGGGGGTGTAGTGTGGGGGTGTAGTGTGGGGGTGTAGTGTGCGGGTGTGGGGGGTGTAGTGTGGGGTGTGGTGGTGTAGTGTAGTGTGGGGTGTAGTGTGGGGGTGTAGTGTGGTGTGGGGGTGTAGTGTGGGGTGTGGGGGTGTAGTGTAGTGTGGGGGTAGTGTAGTGTGTGGGTGTGGTGGTGTAGTGTAGTGTGGGGGTGTAGTGTGGGGGTGTAGTGTGTGGGGTAGTGTAGTGTGTAGTGTGTGGGGTGTAGTGTGTGGGTGTAGGGGTTGTAGTGTAGTGTGGGGGTGTAGTGTGGGTGTGGGGGTGTAGTGTGGGGTGTGTAGGGTGTAGTGTGGGGGTGTAGTGTGGGGGTGTAGGTGGGTGTAGTGTGGGGTGTGGGGGTGTAGTGTGTAGTGTGGGGGGTGTAGTGTGGGGGTGGGGTGTGTAGTGTGTGGTGTGGGGGTGTAGTGTGTGGTGTGTGGGTGTAGTGTGGGGGTGTAGTGTGGTGTGGGGGTGTAGTGTGGGGTGTGGGGGTGTAGTGTGTAGTGTGGGGTGTGAGGGTGTAGTGTGGGGGTGTAGTGTGGGGTGTGGGTGTAGTGTGGGGTGTGGGGGGTGTAGTGTGGGGTGTGGGGGGTGTAGTGTGGGGTGTAGGGTGTAGGGTGTAGTGTGGGGGGTGTAGTGGGGTGTGGGGTGTAGTGTGGGGGTGTGGGGTGTAGTGTGGGGTGTGGGTGTGTAGTGTGGGGTGTGTAGTGTGGGGTGTGGGGGGTGTAGTGTGGGGTGTGGGGGTGTGTGTGGGGTGTGGTGTGTGGGGGTGTAGTGTGGGGTGTGTAGTGTGTGGGTGTAGTGTGGGGGTGTGGGGTGTAGTGTGGGGTGTGTAGTGTGGGGGTGTAGTGTGGGGGTGTAGTGTGAGGGTGTAGTGTGGGGTGTGTGGGGTGTAGTGTGGGGTGTGGGGGTGTAGTGTGGGGGTGTAGTGTGGGGGTGTAGTGTGGGGTGTAGTGTGGGTGTAGTGGGGGTGTAGTGTGGGGTAGTGTGGTGTAGTGTGTGGTGTGTGTAGTGTGTGTGGGTGTAGTGTGGGTGTAGTGTGGGGTGTAGTGTGGGGTGTGTAGTGTGGGGGTGTAGTGTGGGTGGTGTAGTGTGAGGGTGTAGTGTGGGGGTGTAGTGTGGGGGTGTAGTGTGGGGGTGTGTGGGGGTGTAGTGTGGGGGTGTAGTGTGGGATGTAGTGTGGGGTGTGTGGGGTGTAGTGTGGGGGTGTGGGGGGGTGTAGTGTGGGTGGTGTAGTGTGTAGGTGTAGTGTGGGGGTGTAGTGTGGGGTGTGTGTGGGGGTGTAGTGTGGGGTGTGTAGTGTGGGGGTGTAGTGTGAGGGTGTAGTGGGTGTAGTGGGGTGTAGTGTGGGGTGTAGTGTGGGGGTGTAGTGTGTGGGTGTAGTGTGTGGGGTGTAGTGTGGGGGTGTAGTGTGGGGTGTGGGGTGTAGTGTGGGGTGTGGGGTGTAGGTGTAGTGTAGTGTGGGGTGTAGTGTGTTGGTGTAGTGTCCGGGTGTAGTGTGGGGTGTAGTGTGGGGGTGTAGTGTGCAGTGTAGTGTGGGGGTGTAGTGTGGGGGTGTGGGGGTGTAGTGTAGTGTGGGGGTGTAGTGTGGGGGTGTAGTGTGGTGTGGTGTGGTGTGTGGGGTGTAGTGGGGGTGTAGTGTGGGGGGTGTAGTGTGGGGTGTGGGGGTGTAGTGTGGGGGTGTAGTGTGTGTGGGTGTGGGGGTGTAGTGTGGGGTGTGTGGGGGTGTAGTGTGTGGGTGTAGGGTGTGAGTAGTGTAGTGTGGGGTGTAGTGTGGTGTGGGGGGTGTAGTGTGGGGTGTGGGGTGTAGTGTGTAGGTGTAGTGTGTAGTGTGGGGGTGTGGGGGTGTAGTGTGTGGTGTGGGGGGTGTAGTGTGTGGTGTAGGGTGCGGGTGGGGGTGTAGTGTAGTGTGGGGGTGTAGTGTGGGGTGTGGGGGTGTAGTGTGTGGTGTGTAGTGTGGGGGTGTAGTGTGGGGGTGTAGTGTGGGGTGTAGTGTGGTGTAGTGTAGTGTGTGGTGTAGGTGTGGGTGTAGTGTGGGGTGTGTGTGTGGGTGTAGTGTGGGGTGTGTGGGTGTGTAGTGTGGGGGTGTAGGGGGGGTGTAGTGTGGGGTGTGGGGGTGTAGTGTGGGGGTGTAGTGGGGTGTAGTGTGGGGTGTGGGGGTGTAGTGTGGGGTGTAGTGTGTGGTGTAGTGTGGGGTGTAGTGTGGGGTGTGTGGGTGTAGTGTGGGGTGTAGTGGGTGTAGTGTGTAGTGTGGGGTGTAGTGTGTAGTGTGTAGTGTGGGGGTGTAGTGTGGGTGGTGTAGTGTGGGTGTAGTGCGGGTGTAGTGGGGGTGTAGTGTGGGGGGTGTGTGGGTGTAGTGTGGGGGTGTAGTGTGGGTGGTGTAGTGTGGGAGGTGTAGTGTGGGGGTGTAGTGTGGGGTGTGGGGTGTAGTGTAGTGGTGGTGTAGTGTGGGAGGTGTAGTGTGGGAGGTGTAGTGTGGGGTGTGGTGGGGTGTAGTGTGGGGTGTTGGGGTGTAGTGTGGGGTGTTGGGGTGTAGTGTGGGGTGTTGGGGTGTAGTGTGGGGGTGTAGTGTGGGGGTGTAGTGTGGGGTGTAGGGCAGTAATAATATAATCACTCACACTGTCAGGAGCAGCTTTCAGAACCATTAAGGTTGTGTCTCAGCCGTTTGGGCTCGTCAGCTGATGTCTGGAGACTCGTTTCTCACTTGTCCTTCCTGGCTAGCGAGGATTCCCTGGCCTGTCGCCACCTGTACCCTCTCGTTAGTGGGGTTCGAATCCCAATTTCATGAAAAAAATGTTATTTCCGCTATGCATCAAGATCTTTCTCCCTCACAGCCATCTTAGCTTCCAATTATTCTCATCAAATTTTGCTTAAATTGCAATAATTTTTCTAATCTATTTTGCATAAATCTAATCTCACAGTTACCCTCTGTTTCCAATCAGACAGATGTTCTCTCACTTATTGTGCAGGTTTGTCAGCCTCGACAAGTCTGAATTGGAACCGTCCACGCGGTACTGTGTCGATTGATAAAGATTAAGCCACCTAAAAGGTGGCACGGGCATGAATAGCCCGTAAGTGGCGGCCCTTTTGAGCCATTACCAGTATCAAGAGCTGATACTGGAGATCTATGGAGGTGCAACTGCACCCTGCGTGACGGGAAATGTCTCCCTTGGTACTGTGTCAAATGCTCTCTGGTAGTCCATGAAAGCACGGTCATCCTACCTTTTCTTATTCTTGCTATTCATTGTAGATATTTCCTCTTCCCCCCGCCTGTCAATTCTAATAAGTATTTTGTACGTCTGTATCATGTCTCCCTCCTCTCCCTCCTCCTTTATAACGTCGTCATGTTTTGTTCCTTCAGTCTCTCTTCGTACCTCATCCCTCGCAGCTCTGGGACGAGTCTTGTGCATACCTATGTGTTATGCGCTATGTTTTGGGGTTCCAGGATGGTGCAGCATACTCTAAGACTGGCCTCACATATTCAGTATACAGTGATCTAAAAACCTCCTTATTCAAGTTTCTGAAGGATGTTCTAACTTTTGCCAGAGTTGAGTATGCCGCTGATGTTATTTTGTTTATATGAGCCTCTGGAGTTAAGTTTGTCCACTCCCAGGTCTTTTTTCTCTAGTCGTTAGAGGGAGGTAGTTTCCCTTTCTCTTGTATCGGCCTTTCGGTCTCCTGGCTCCTGATTCCATTTCCATCACATTACACTTGCTAGTGTTGAACTCTAGCAGCCTCATTAGATTCCTCATTATACTCGCATAGTTTGCAAACCTCGCCATAAAAGACTCAATTCCTGCAGTGAAGTGTGTGTGTGTGTGTGTGTGTGTGTGTGTGTGTGTGTGTGTGTGTGTGTGTGTGTGTGTGTGTGTGTGTGTGTGTGTGTGTGTGTGTGTATGAGTGAGTGTGCGCGCGCACGAGTGCGTTGCCCCACAGCCCTGAATGAAGGCTGGGCCGGCCAGCATGCGCACTGCCAACACTTTTTGTGTTCTCTCGTTCTAACTAGGAAGCAAGAGAGGGGAACTGAGTGCCTCTCCCTCTACCCCACCCCACTCACTCTACCCCCACCCCACTCACTCTACCCCCACCCCACTCACTCTACCCCCACCCCACTCACTCCCACTACCCCACCCCACTCACTCTACCCACACCCCCACTCACTCTCTCTACCCCCACCCCACTCACTCTACCCCCACCCAACTCACTCTACCCCCACCCCACTCACTCTACCCCCCCCCCACTCCCCCCACCCCACTCACTCCCTCTACCCCACCCCCATTCACTCCCACTACCCCACCCCACTCACTCTACCCCACCCCACTCCCCCCCCCACCCACTCACTCCCTCTACCCCACCCCACTCACTCTACCCCACCCCACTTACTCCCCCTACCCCACCCCACTCACTCTACCCCCACCCCACTCACTCTACCCCCACCCCACTCACTCTCTCTACCCCCACCCAACTCACTCTATCCCCACCCCACTCACTCTACCACCACCCCACTCACTCTCTCTACCCCCACCCAACTCACTCTATCCCCACCCCACTCACTCTACCCCCCACCCCACTCACTCTCTCTCTACCTCCACCCAACTCACTCTACCCCCACCCCACTCACTCTACCCCCCACCCCACTCACTCTCTCTAACCCCCACCCAACTCACTCTATCCCCACCCCACTCACTCTAACCCCCCCCACCCCACTCACTCCCTCTACCCCCACCCCACTCCACCCACTCACTTTACCCCCACCCCACTCACTCACTCTACCCCCACCTCACTCACTCCCTCTACCCCCCCACCCCACTCACTTTACCCCCACCCCACTCACTCACTCTACCCCCACCGCACTCACTCTACCCCCACCCCACTCACTCTCTCTACCCCACCTCACTCACTCTACCCCCACCCCACTCACTCCCTCTACCCCCACCCCACTCACTCACTCACTCTACCCCCACCCCTCTCACTCTCTCTACCCCCCCCACCCCACTCACTCCCTCTACCCCCACCCCACTCACTCCCCTCTACCCCCACCCCACTCACTCCCTCTACCCCACCCCACTCACTCCCACTACCCCACCCCACTCACTCTCTCTACCCCACCCCACTCACTCTACCCCCACCCCACTCACTCCCTCTACCCCCACCCCACTCACTCCCTCTACCCCCACCCCACTCACTCCCTCTACCCCACCCCACTCACTCCCTCTACCCCCACCCCACTCACTCTCTCTACCCCACCCCACTCACTCCCTCTACCCCGACCCCACTCACTTGTTATACTCAAATTCTGTCAGTTGAAATGTAACCAATCACAGGCAAGTAGGCCTCTGACGTCATGCCAGACAGAGGAGCATCAGGCATGCTCCCAGCAGCCTCAGTTATCCTCACAGACTCAGAGTAGAAGGACCTCGGCTAGGCAGATATATACCTTGCTATCTCAGTCAATAAATATATACAGAAGCGACTACTGAGTCTACATTCTACCCGAACAAGGCAAACGAATACTGGTGGCAGCGGTGGGATGGGAGTGACCGTGTGCGTACTTCCTGCTGGTCTCGGCTGGTATCCGAGTAAGTGGTGAAAGTCTGAGTCTGCTTTGTTGGAATGGTGGTGTTGCGTTTAATTAGAGCAGTCATCACTCCCCCAGCAGTTTCAATACCCAAGGAGAGAGGAGTGACATCCAGTAGGAGCAAGTCCTGAACAGCTTCAGACTTATCTCCACAAAGAATGGCAGCCTGAACAGCTGCACCATACGCTACAGCTTCATCTGGATTAATTGACTTGTTCAGTTCCTTTCCATTGAAGAAATCTTGCAAAAGCTTCTGAATCTTTGGGATGCGAGTAGAACCTCCCACAAGAACTATATCATGAATCTGGGCTTTGTCCATTTTTGCGTCTCGAAGAGATTTCTCAACAGGCTCTAGAGTACCACGGAACAAGTCAGCGCACAACTCTTCGAAACGCGCACGTGTAATAGAGGTGTAGAAGTCTATACCCTCGAACAACGAATCTATTTCTACACTAGCCTGAGTCGAGGACGATAAAGTGCGCTTCGCACGTTCACAAGCAGTACGAAGTCGGCGAAGGGCACGTTTGTTTTCAGTTGGATCTTTCTTGTACTTGCGCTTGAACTCTTGAATGAAGTGGTTTACCATACGGTTGTCAAAGTCTTCACCACCCAAATGAGTGTCCCACCACCCCACTCACTCTACCCCCACCCCACTCACTCCCTCTACCCCCACCCCACTCACTCCCTCTACCCCCACCCCACTCACTCCCTCTACCCCACCCCACTCACTCCCTCTACCCCCACCCCACTCACTCCCTCGACCCCCACCCCACTCACTCCCTCTACCCCCACCCCACTCACTCCCTCTACCACCACCCCACTCACTCTACCCCACCCCACTCACTCTCTCTACCCCCACCCCACTCACTCCCTCTACCCCACCCCACTCACTCTACCCCCACCCCACTCGCTCCCTCTACCCCACCCCACTCACTCTCTCTACCCCCACCCCACTCACTCTCTCTACCCCCACCCCACTCACTCTCTCTACCCCCCCCCCACTCACTCTCTCTACCCCACCCCACTCACTCCCTCTACTCCCACCCCACTCACTCTACCCCCCACCCCACTCACTCCCTCTACCCCACTCCACTCACTCCCTCTACCCCCACCCCACTCACTCCCTCTACCACCACCCCACTCACTCTACCCCCACCCCACTCACTCCCTCTACCACCACCCCACTCACTCTACCCCCCACCCCACTCACTCCCTCTATCCCCACCCCACTCACTCACTCTACCCCCACCCCACTCACTCTCTACCCCTACCCCACTCACTCCCTCTACCCCACCCCACTCACTCCCTCTACCCCACCCCACTCACTCCCACTACCCCCACCCCACTCACTCCCTCTACCCCCACCCCACTCACTCTACCCCCACCCCACTCACTCTCTCTACCCCCACCCCACTCACTCTACCCCTACCCCACTCACTCCCTCTACCCCACCTCACTCACTCCCTCTACCCCACCCCACTCACTCCCACTACCCCCACCCCACTCCCTCCCTCTACCCCCACCCCACTCTCTCTACCCCCACCCCACTCACTCCCTCTACCCCATCCCACTCACTCCCTCTACCCCCACCCCACTCACTCCCTCTACCCCCACCCCACTCACTTCCTCTACCCCACCCCACTCACTCCCTCTACCCCCACCCCACTCACTCCCTCTACCCCCCACCCCTCACTCACTCTACCCCCACCCCACTCACTCTCTCTACCCCCACCCCACTCACTCTACCCTCACCCCACTCCCTCCCTCTACCCCCACCCCACTCTCTCTACCCCACCCCACTCACTCCCTCTACCCCCACCCCACTCGCTCCCTCTACCCCACCCCACTCACTCCCTCTACCCCCACCCCAGTCACTCACTCTACCCCCCACCCCACTCACTCTACCCCCACCCCACTCCCTCCCTCTACCCCCCACCCCACTTTCTCTACCCCCACCCCACTCACTCTACCCCCACCCCACTCCCTCCCTCTACCCCCCCCCCACTCTCTCTACCCCCACCCCACTTACTTCCTCTACCCCCACCCCTCTCACTCCCTCTACCCCACCCACTCACTCCCATTACCCCCACCCCACTCACTCACTCTACCCCACCCCACTCACACCCTCTACCCCACCCCACTCACTCTACGCCCACCCCACTCACTCCCTCTACACTCACCCCACTCACTCTACCCCCCCCCCCCACTCACTTACTCTACCCCACCCCACTCACTCCCTCTACCCCCACCCCACTCACTCCCTCTACCCCCACCCCACTCACTCTACCCCACCCCACTCACTCTACCCCCACCCCACTCACTCCCTCCACCCCCACCCCACTCACTCTCTCTACCCCCTCCCCACTCACTCCCTCTACCCCACCCCACTCACTCCCTCTACCCCAACCCCACTCCGTCTACCCCAACCCACCCTACACTAACCCATAGCCTACCTATCCCACTCGTAACAGAAATTCGTTCAGTCTTCAGACTTTCTTATGTAATTTTGAAGTGAATATATATAAATATATATATATATATATATATATATATATATATATATATATATATATATATATATATAAAATATATATATAAAAATATATATATATATAAAATATATATATATAAAAAAAATATTATATATATATATATATATATATATATATATATATATATATATATATATATATATATATATATATATATATATATATATATAATTAAACCTCTGTTGTCACCTGATTATAAAGAAGTTACTTCTTGAAGCCGCTTAGCTGCCTACACTGATATGTTCCCACAATTTTTTTTTACCCCTGTTAGCAGGCTTTTCCTTCCTATAGCTCATTGTAAACCTTACCCACTAGTTTCCCTCTAACACGACCTGCCTGTCGATTAACAACCAGGTGCCCAATTGTTGCTGGGTGAACAGGGGCGAGCAGTTAAGGATTGATGCCCAACCACCCCTCCCCAGGCCAGGGCTCGAACCAAGACGAAAACTCTCGTGAGGAGCAGGGCGAGTGCACTACGCAAGGACTGGTAACACTGACATAACACCACCCACATTGGCTGGTAACGCTGATATACCCCTCCCCCTATATTGGTAACACTGGCATGCCCTCGAACCTATTTTTGTTAACTTGCTGACATTATCATTATATAAGATGTGCAAATTAGACGAAATTGCTAATCAGAGCTCGGCGGAAAATTTTACATTAAGACCTTTTGTGGCATCTGAAATCTTTTTTGCACTAGATTCACCGTTGTTTCTGAATACTTAAAACGAGGATGATATTTGGTACCTCAGAGGTACTAAACTGATATCTGGTATCGTTCACAGGATGAGTATGGGGGCGCAAAAGTAACTAGTCACTTCCAGTGGGAGTTGCGACCTGGCGACCATGGGTTGCGGACGTGCTGCCTGACCTCTCCCGTTGTTGGTGTCGTAGACTCTGTGTGTGGTTCTCAGGGGTGTTGCTGGTGGGGGCCCCTGTGTCCAGCAGTTCCTGTGTGATGGGGGCGCCCTTGCCACCTGTGAAACGCTCTATTACAATTGGACTTGAATATTCAGGCTTCGCGAACTATACCTGCCGTGGATACCACTTTGTTTGTTGGGCATTGACGTTTGTGGCGTCCACCTGATCACGAAACATCGGGCTGTGGTTAAGCTATACTGAGGAGGCCTATTGGGACTTTCTACATCGATTTGATGGACGCACGTTGCAGATGCCGGTTGCTGGTGGGTCTGTGGTTATTTCGGGCCGCAGTAGCTCTGCTAAATACATCAACGTCCTCGGCGCCCTTATCGAGTTCCCTGAGGTGTTGTTTCGGCATTACTTCGGGCAGTTTGGGCGGGTAGTGTCTGTCTGGATGAATATCATATTCTCTGGTCGACTGAAGGGCGTCCAGAACGGCAATCGGACGTTGGAGATGTGACTCAAGTCTGACATTCCATCATCAATTAGGTTGATGGGCTAGTATCTACGTGTGTATTATGCCCGGCAGCCGTGGACCTGCTCTCATTGTGGGATGTCGGGGCACCAGGCTGCAGGGTGCTCTGCGGGTGACGTCGAGCGGGTGAATTTCTTCCGCGAGGAGGAAGACTTTCCGCCACTGGTGGTTCAAGAGGACTCTGAGGATGAGGTTGTGGATGTGTCCGCGGGCGCTGTACCTCCGCGGGAGCGAGCAGGCTCGCTATACCGTCGTCTTCTGTGTGTTCTGCCGCCGCCGTGAATGTTGCGGGCGTGGCTGTGGTGAGGCGTGCGGCTCCTCCCCCTCCTGCGGCTCTTGTTGATGGTTATCTTGAGATGATTTCCGGGCTTTTTAGTGTCCCCGCGGCCCGGTCCTCGACCAGGCCTCCACCCCCAGGAAGCAGCCCGTGACAGCTGACTAACTCCCAGGTATCTATTTTACTGCTAGGTAACAACTGCTATGGTACCCACGTGGCTTCGACGTCTGGTTGTGCGCCACTTCTGCCTCTTCGTTCTGAGGCTGTTGTGGACGCTTTTTTCTGTAGCTGCGGTATTTGTCACTGCGCCACCTGCGCCTGCCGTGCCGGTGGGGTGTGGGGGTCGCGGTCTCCTGGTGTATATGGGCCGGTGCCCCTGTGGTCGCCGCCACTGAGGTTTTAAGTGGCCGTGGATTGCGTGCCCGAGCGCAGCTTCCCTGCGCTTCTGGGGATTCATTCTGCGGGGACAACGCTCGGGGTTCGTAGCCCTAAGGTTCCAGGTTCGATCCCCGGCGGAGGCGGAAAATAAATGAGTTTCTTTCATCCTTATGTCCCTGTTCATCTAGCAGTAAATAGGTACCTGGGAGTTAGACAGCTGCTACGGGCTGTTTTCTGGGGATATGTAACAAAAAGGAGGCCTGGTCGAGGACCGAGCCGCGGGGACGCTAAGCCCCGAAATCATCTCGAGATAAATCATCTCGAGATAAATCATCTCAAGATAAATCATCTCGAGATAAATCATCTCAAGATAAATCATCTCAAGATAAATCATCTCAAGATAAATCATCTCGAGATAAATCATCTCAAGATAAATCATCTCAAGATAAATCATCTCGAGATAAATCATCTCGAGATAAATCATCTCAAGATAAATCATCTCAAGATAAATCATCTCAAGATAAATCATCTCGAGATAAATCATCTCAAGATAAATCATCTCAAGATAAATCATCTCGAGATAAATCATCTCGAGATAAATCATCTCAAGATAAATCATCTCAAGATAAATCATCTCAAGATAAATCATCTCAAGATAAATCATCTCAAGATAAATAATCTCAAGAAGACTCCCCATCTTCAAGTCGGTGCGACATGTCAGCACCGATTGTCGCTGAAGATCGCGTTGTTGGCAACAATGTAGAGGAAAAGCAGCATTCTATAAACAATGTACCACGTGCACCCTGAGTGTAAACAAGTGCCGCCACGTGGTCCTCCCTTGTGTAAACACACCCTGGCCTCCTCCCCCCTATTGATAAACAAGGCAAACCACGGCCCATCCCTCAGGCTGGTGCGGGGGGGGGGGGGGGGAGTTACGTAAACATCACCAGCGATTTATATATAGGACCTCTAGTTCTGATGTTCACTCTCATGCTAGGAGCTTGCTCCACCTTTGCCGCGGA